ACTGTGCCAGCACGTTCCTGATAACAACACGAAGCCAAAATCGATCCATTTACTAGAGAAGTCGCTACTAGTTACATTTATTTTTCTTTGAACAGTCAGATATCACTATTTACATTATTCGGACTATTGTCCTCATCTTTGTCGCCATATTTATTACGACGTTTCGGCCGTTGTACGCTCCAGGCTTCTTCAGGTGGTTGGAATGTCGAACTGAACCCTTTATTTCGCTCACTTGGCTAGACTATTCTAGTTCGATGTGCCATGTTTTAATGGATGTCAGTTGTCAATTATATCCTGGTAATTCCCCTCCCCGAGTTCTCCACCCTAACCCTAACCCTATCCAGTTATTGAACTCACTCATTGGGTCCTGTCACTAGATCTAACTAACGCCTTTATCTACTGTGACATGTTTTCTTGAGGAAACGTTGTAATAAATATGGCGACAATAGTCCGAATAATGTAAATAGTGTACATAATACCTCATCTCAGAAATATAGACAGATACTGAAAGGCCGAAACATTGTGATAAATATGGCAACAAAGATGAGGACAATAGTCCGAATAATGTAAATAGTGTACATAATACCTCATCTCAGAAATATAGACAGATACTGAAAGGCCGAAACGTTGTAATAAATATGGCGACATAGATGGCGACAATAGTCCGAATAATGTAAATAGTGTACATAATACCTCATCTCAGAAATATAGACAGACACTGAAAGGCCGAAACGTTGTAATAAATATGGCGACATAGATGGCGACAATTGTCCGAATAATGTAAATGGTGTACATAATACCTCATCTCAGAAATATAAACAGATACTGAAAGGCCGAAACATTGTGATAAATATGGCAACAAATATGAGGACAATAGTCCGAATAATCTAAATAGTATACATAATACCTCATCTCAGAAATATAGACAGATACTGAAAGGCCGAAACATTGTGATAAATATGGCAACAAAGATGAGGACAATAGTCCGAATAATGTAAATAATGTACATAATACCTCATCTCAAAAATATAGACAGATACTGAAAGGTCGAAACATTGTGATAAATATGGCAACAAAGATGAGGACAATAGTCCGAATAATGTAAATAGTGTACATAATACCTCATCTCAGAAATATAGACAATCAGATATCAGTTTACGGGGAAAGAAACAAAGCAATTATTATTAAGAACAGTTGAAATTCATGCATGCCATATTTCACAGTTCTAGCATCGTTCCTTCTTAGCCAGCCTATGAATATTTTAGTCTAGTCGCCAACAATTTTATAATCTATATCTCTATCTTTGTCTTTCTCTACACGAAGCAATTTCCTCTGCTGATGATGACTTTTTTGCCCAACAGGATGAGCAGTCTTCTTTACACAGTCAAATATCAGTTAACCTAGAAAAAATCAAGGCAATTATTAATAATATACATTTAATTTAACGCAGACATTATTTTACAGTTCTAGCATAATTCTTTCATCAGTCCATAAACTTTTAAGCCAAGCATCGTATGTCGAAAAAGTCGTATTTATTGTGTTAATAAATGCATTTATAAATCTCTCATTAGGTTGCACATTAATTTATGTACTTAGGAGCTGACCATACAAACTAAATATTGTTATTTCAGCCAAAATGTCTCCCCTACACAAATGTGCACGCCCTTTCCAAAGGCCCGTATCATTTGCCAAGAGATGTTATTCAATAAATGACAATTTAATGGAAAGCCAGTTCAGGGAGTGATGTTATTTAAAATAACATTTTCAGTAATTTTTTTTAAAAGGAAGCCGGAATAAAACAAATAACAAATAGATATTTTACAGACAGAATAGATTCATATAAAAAGGCAATGAACTATTGCGACATTTTAAATGAAAGTTAAGTGCGTCCAGTAAGAGAATTAATACCTCGATTACCTTTATTAGAATTTAATGAAACCTGAAACTTTTCTTGACTGTCTTTATCTTTCTGTTTTCGTGTCGAAGTTGAAGTCTATAAAAGATTTAAAGCCTATCTTTTAAATCCAGAATAGAGAACCCTATTACAAAGGAATAATTAAAAAAAAATAAAATAAAACGATCTAATATATAAATTTAATGCGTTGTCTGCATGTCCGAACGAAAATCTAAAAATAATAATCTTCTTCTTCGATGTGTCAGGTTCCTTCAGGACGTGAGTGATTATGACTTTTCACATCTTCCTATATCTTGTACCTCTCAGTAACGTTTGTCTTTTTCAAAAGCCTTCTCGCACAACCATTGCGCATGGTCAGTTAAGTGGTCTGCTCCACCCCTGTCGCTTTTATTTTCTATATGTCTTGTGCTCTTTCCTTATTTTGTGTTCAAGAAATTTCAGCTGCCCTTTTCTGAGTACAGAGTATCCTTTTTGCTTCCACTTCCTGTCCCTGCTATTCTCGGTATCCTTATGTAGAGCCACGTTTAAAGTTTTTAGTTTTAAAATGCCAGGTCAAGGCCAATAAAATTGCAGATTCATTGCTTTTTATCAAGAATCTGTAAATACAGAGATGCCTCATACCAGATGTAGCAGCCATAGTTAATGCAAGGATGAATGAAACCTTAATGATTAACCTACGTATTCAACAATGAATTAAGTGCATTGACAAAAGTAAATTATACTAAAAAATAAATGTTACTTTTGTAAAATAAACAGTGTTATTTAATCATAACTCTACAGACTTATTGGTGTAACTGAGTTAAGTGCATTGACAAGGAAGGTGATAATTATTTACATTATTTACATTGTTCAGACTGTTGTATTCATCTTTATTACCATATTCACGACGTTTCAGCCCTTCTACGCTCCGACCTTCTTCAGGTGATATACTTTCTCTTATATAACACAACACTCCAAGTGCTTGATCACTCTGCTAGGGCCAGGTATTGAACTCACAATTCTTTAGGTCAAGTCATTTTTGAGATTACTTAATCAACGGTTTTATCCATTGGCTCAGTGACTTGACTCAAACGGTTATGAGTTCAATTCATGGCCACAGCAGTAGAAACAAAAATTTGGAGAGTTGAGTGACTAAAGTGAATTAACTGATACTGTGATATCCCCCAAAAGGCATGGGACGTGGAAATAGCAACCATTTTGATTAAATAAATGTTTCAGTTCGAAATTCCAATCTGAAGAATGTCGCTGCGTATAACGACCGAAACGTCGTAAATATGGTAAAAAAGATGTGGACAAAAATCCCAACGATGTAATGAAATATAAACAAATTGAGATTATATAGAAAAAATATTTTCTGTAAAACAAATGGTTTTTTCGTCATTATGTGACGAACATTTAGGTATTGCAGAATTATCACTGAATTAAGTGCATTAACAAGGAATAACTTTATACTGTAACATGCTTTTGTATGAAGCACATAACTTTTTCGTCATAAGGCCACGAATTTAATGATGTACTTTCATATGTATCTTATGTGTACTTTTTCTTCATTATCTGCTGATTTTATCGTGGTTTGGTATATTAGAAGAATAATATGAAGAAAAAAGTATACATAGGAGTAACTGAAGGACCCTGGAAACAAAGAAATTATACACACAAAACATCTTTCACAAATAATAAATATGCGAACAGCACAATGCTTTCTAAGTATATCTGGGAAATTAAAAACAAAACGCACATCACACCAAAGATATCTTGGAAAATAAGGAAGAGATCATCAGCCTACAATAACCAATCAAAAACTTGCAAACTTTGCTTGAAGGAAAAAAAATAGCTATCATTACCTTACCAGACCAAAATAAATTATTAAATAAACGATCCGAGCTCATCTCAAAATGAGCATGAAAACAAGTTTTTACTATGTTACTTAAAAATCGAAAACTGAAAAAAATAAAATAAAATAATAAAAAAATAAAATAAAATAAATAAATAAATAAAATGAGAATAAAATAAGTAAAATAAATTATCCTAAACAAATTACCAAATCACATCCGTTAGAATAGACGAAATAGAATAAATAAATAAAAATAAAAACAAAATCAATGAACCGAAATAAAGTAAATAATAAACAAATTAACAAACCATTATGACCAAAATATTAGTTAGACTATAAAAATCAAACCAAAAATCGAACGAAAAACATAACTATAATTGTTATATAACGATAAAAAAAATTCTACATTACTTAAAAACCGAAAACCGAAAAGTGTAAAATATATAGTATAATAAATAAATAATAATAAAGAAGTAAAATAAATTACTCTAAATTAATCCAAATAAATAAATAAACAAATTAACAAACGGATCACGATAAATTAACCGTTAGAGAAGAACAATTAAAGATAATCAATCCAAATACATACATAAAGTAATAAACAAATTAAAAACTGCTCCCGCTAAAATAGTAGTTAGAATAAACTACAACAATCAACCCCAAAATTAAATAAATGGCTTTAATTATCTTCCCAAACCAAGACAAAACTATTAAATAAGCGATAAAAACAAATTTTATTACGTTAATAAAAACACAAATTAAATTTTTTTTTAAAAAGTAAATATATAGGATAAGAAATAAAAAAAAAATAAATAAATACTGACAAGCAAAATAATTTGACCCAAATAAATAAATAAACAAATAAACCACTTCCGGCAAAATAACCGCCAAAATAGACTACCCACAATGCACCACTGACTCGTATATATAAATAGCCGAGAAAAATAACAGCAGTCGTGGCCTGACGATTGCGTCTAGCATGAAATAGACTGTCGCCTCTAAGTGTTGACTTCTATGTTCACTTTTATATTTACACACGCTCTATCTCTGATATTGAGCACTTTATCCCATAAATATAGCATACCTTAAGACTATATTTCTTCATATATATATATATATATATATATATATATATATGCTTTAATAATTAAAAATATCCACCAAGGGGTAAAAATGGACTTTATATAAGAGAGAAAGTGTTCAATGCTTGACAGTTGAGCAAATATGAATGTTACTTATAGGAAAATCTCGATGGATAGGTGGGTAAAGACAAAAGATGGACTATACTTCACCAACGCGTTTCCTCCTCTGATGGACTTTATCAATGCAAATGAAAGGATTATTTTTGGCAACGTGTATTTTTGAGCAGATTTAGGAAAATCGTTAGCTTTTTAATTTCCTCAGTTTAAGAAATGTTCAAAAATATCCTTTAGGCTAACCGTAAAAGTTGGTAAAGGATAGTTTTTCTATTGTCTTTATGTCTTTATTCTTGTTGTTTTAGAGACACACACACACACACACACACATATATATATATATATATATATATATATATATATATATATATATATATATATATATATATATATAAAATAGGAAAGAACTCGTTAGGTAAATAATCCTAAGTTCGTTAGTTTTTGTTATTATTTTAAAAAATAGTGCTCGATACAAAAGTAGAACATAAATATAAATATTTATTTAAAAATATATGATTCCAACACGCTACTTAAGAGTTCTCATGTTTCAAAAAACAAAAGCCGAAACATGAGAACTCTTATGTAGCGTGTTGAAATCATATTTTAAATAAATAATATATATATATATATATATATATATATATATATATATATATATATTCTAAGTAATTTATGAATTTTATTTTTAGTGAGCAAACTTTAGTCGCCATACATGATCAGCCGTGCCTGATTTCATTGTGTAATACTTAATTACGGCTTATTAATATTCCTGCAGCTTTACCTTTTAGGATTTGGCTTGTTTTCCCTTTACACTATTTTCCACAAGTGCACAGAATATAATACGTACATTTGTTTGGTCATCTACTTGGGGTTAGGCTTAACATGACAAAGTTTTCTACTTCTCGTATATATCCGTCTACTTAAAAACGCAAAGGATGCGACGAGAAGGAAATCAACAAAGAAATTTCGACGTAGCTATATCTCTTCTCACCACTGCTATAGATTATTTTTTTTTTTTTTTGCCAAGAAGCCATAGCAATTCACAGATCGTAACGAAAATGGAATGTGTGGAAAGCCACGATTGTCTACTACATGAGAACATATGAAAAAGGTATAAAATCAGTTAGTCGCTGACACTGCTTTGTAATATAAGGAGGAGGTATATCGCGGCGTTGGAATCCCAAGGAACAAACTAGTTCTATTATGTATCTCGCTCGAAGACAAAATTTGGCAGATCATAGGGGAAAAAATGGTTTTCATAGTTATCAGCTTCCTGGTCCATCTATATAGCTAAAGTGAAATTTTATTTATTTATTGATTGTCCGTCATTAGAAATTTCATCATAACGCCAACATCTTTAAATTTAATTCTTATGACCCTGTCATATTCTGACGGTACTCCTATATTATTTTACTCAAGTCCTCGTTTTGTTTGCTATTGTCTTCCGTCATCCATTATCTGTTTGCGGGCCAATATACCACTTGCAACAAAGTGGTGACACCGTTGTGGTCTCCCATCAAAGTTCACTATCTACACCTAATCCCTCGTCGCCACCACCGTAACCTAGGCAACCAACGAGCCGTACCACGAATCAACACACCGCTGTGACCTCGATCGAATAAACCTGCCAACCCACCTTACCAGGCAGATCATCTTCAACATCTCGGCACCACAAGAAACAGCCAACCCAAGAAATCGAAAAACTCCAGGCTCTAACGACAACATTTTACATTTGCTTTCCTGAACAAGAGCAACTGAAGAATCACACATGAAGAATTTTTGTCAAATTTCAAACAGCTATGCATCTGTGTATATTTGACGATGGCTCGCTGTCGAGAATTTGAAAATGTAGGATACAACAAGCTTACTTATAGTTATTTTCCAAGCGTAGCTTACATGTGGCACAAGGCCAAAAGGATGGGGCACCCAGTGAGGATCGAACTTACTATTCAGTCGTAATTGTTCTAGAGAGACAAACCTACTAACCATTACACCACCTGGAGGTGCCCAAAGTGATTTTCCAAGCGTAACTTGGATGTGGCACAAGGCCGAAAGTAAGGGGCACCCAGCGAGGATTAGAACTCACTACTCAGTCGTAATTGTTCTAGCCAGACAAGCTTGCTAACCATTACACCAACCTTAAGGTGCCCAAACAAGCCTACTTATATTCTTGCAGATATAACTTTGATGTACCGAGAACAGCTTCACCAAGCTACGGATTACTAATCTGGAATTTTTACCAAGTATCCTTTTAACAGGTTGGAGTTGCTAGAACACTCGAAATTGCTTTTGTGTTCAGGGTTGTCTTTCTCCTAGAATAGCTGCCAACCAAGGCTAGATAATTTTTTTTTTGGCAGGGACATGGGATGTAGCCATGACTTTATAATGTTTTGTGTGTGTGTGTGTGTGTGTGTGTGTGTGTGTGTGTGTGTGTGTGTGTGTGGCAGGAATTTAAACTAGGTACATCACACCCACATTAGGTGTCTGTAACCATTATGCTAAAAAATCTCCCACCTGCTAGAAACATCATATTCATACTCTTGACAATTAATATAAACGGGAAAAATATCTATAAAGAAATATCTCATTTTTCAGAAAATAATATCAAAATATAATTCATATTCAGCTGTTCAATTCGGCTACTTTCCTGGTTTTCATATTCCATCTACACTAAAATCAGTTTTGATTATTTCATGATAAAGCCTGTGTTCCCTGGAACAACAAAATTTTTTTTTTTCAAATTCATTTTATTTTATTTTTACATGAATTCAATATATACACAGGTATAAAGAGGCATAAGACAAGGGTGTGTCGTCTCACCGGACTTATTCAAACTTTACTGTAAGGCAAGTCTGAAATATAGAAATATTACCAAGATTTAAATCGTAAAGTACATAACCTCAACTTTTTTCGATTCATATGTAAAAAAAATGAAACTTTCAGATGAACACCACGATTTTGTCTTGGGAAAAATAATAAAAGCAATAATTTTGTGTTAGAAAAAAACAACACCCTGATGTTGACATAGTATTAATGCTGAAAGTACTCGGAATAAATGAATATGTATCAACATGGTAATTTTCTTTTAATAAGGATACTAGGAAGCTTGTCCGTGAATATGAGAGGATCCTATTGAAAATAATCAGATATATATATATATATATATATATATATATATATATATATATAGGAAATATCGCTTAAAACCAAATCTCCCTGAAGACAGGAAATTTTATCAAGAAACTTCGAAGTCGGGATAGAATTGATATTTAAAAGATAAGTAATCTTTTCGTATATATATATATATATATATATATATATATATATATATATATATATATATCGTGTATTGGGCAACAGATCATTATTTAAACAAGATTATTAAATATTACAGAAAATGAGTGTCTATTATGTCTGATCATGAGCCGTTCTAATGTTTGAATGTTTGCTTTTATTTCTGGTGAATATAAAGAGAAAAAATTTCCAAAATTTGGATATTTGTTTATTAAGCTGGTCCTAAGCTTTCGGCTCATATGATCCATCCTCAGAGTAGTTATATGAACATGAAACAAAGATATCTATCGTCAAAGATGATATTTTATTATTTTGGCATAGAACATTGCTATGTGACGATACCGGTCGCGGAATAGCAGACGCAGATCATAAAACCGATATCGTGTAGTTTCTCATTTCCTTTAACATTTATAATTTTTCATTCTCGTTCTTATTCTCGCTTTCTTTCATTTTCTTTCTCCTTCTCAATCAATTGTTTTGTTTCTGACTTTTTCACTCCTTTCTTTACTTTGATTTTTTTTGTTTTTTCTCATTTCTGATTTTTTCTTTCATTTTTCCTGTAATTTCTGTTTTCTACTTTCATTCATTCACTTATTCATTTATTTCTATTCATTTCACTGTCTTTCTTTATTTTTCTTTATTTTTTCTTTCTTTCATTTTCTTCCATTTTTTCTTTCTTTCTTTCTTTCTTTCTTTCTTTCTTTCTTTCTTTCGTACTTTCTTTCTTTTTTCTTTTCGATCCAGGCTTATTTCTTCTTTCCTCATTCATCATGACTTCTTTGTTCCTTCTTTCCCTCTTTTATCTTCCTTCCTTCCTTCCTTCCTTCCTTCCTTCCTTCCTTCCTTTTTTCTTTCTTTCGTTCTCATTCTTAATCCAGACTTTGGTATTCTTTCTTTCTTTCTTTCTTTCTTTCTTTCTTTCTTTCTTTTCGATCCAGGCTTATTTCTTCTTTCCTCATTCATCATGACTTCTTTGTTCCTTCTTTCCCTCTTTTATCTTCCTTCCTTCCTTCCTTCCTTCCTTCCTTCCTTTTTTCTTTCTTTCGTTCTCATTCTTAATCCAGACTTTGGTATTCTTTCTTTCTTTTCTTTCTTTCTTTCTTTCTTTTTTCTTTCTTTCTTTTTTTCGATCCAGGCTTATTTCTTCTTTCCTCATTCATCATGACTTCTTTGTTCCTTCTTTCCCTCTTTTATCTTCCTTCCTTCCTTCCTTCCTTCCTTCCTTCCTTCCTTTTTTCTTTCTTTCGTTCTCATTCTTAATCCAGACTTTGGTATTCTTTCTTTCTTTCTTTCTTTCTTTCTTTCTTTCTTTCTTTCTTTCTTTTCGATCCAGGCTTATTTCTTCTTTCCTCATTCATTAAGACTTCTTTGTTCCTTCTTTCCCTCTTTTATCTTCCTTCCTTCCTTCCTTCCTTCCTTCCTTCCTTCCTTCCTTCCTTCCTTCCTTTTTTCTTTCTTTCGTTCTCATTCTTAATCCAGACTTTGGTATTCTTTCTTTCTTTCTTTCTTTCTTTTTCTTTCTTTTCTTTCTTTTTCGATCCAGGCTTATTTCTTCTTTCCTCATTCATCATGACTCTTTTGTTCCTTCTTTCCCTCTTTTTATCTTCTTCCTTCCTTCCTTCCTTCCTTCCTTCCTTCCTTTTTTCTTTCTTTCGTTCTCATTCTTAATCCAGACTTTGGTATTCTTTCTCTCTTTCTTTCTTTCTTTCTTTCTTTCGTACTTTCTCTCTTTCGTACTTTCTTTCTTTCTTCTTTTCGATC